CACAGTTTGTAATAGCTAAAACTTGGAAGCAGGACTAAAAGGTATAATAGATAATGTGAAATTGGAAGAAAAGGGGCAAAAGGGAAGAGATAGTGGGAGGGGTATGGAAAAGGAAAGAAAAGAATGGAATTAGTATGAGAAAAATGAAAAAATGGAAACAAAGTCTTTGTAAATAGGGAGGAATTGATGGGTTGAAGGGAGGCCAGTGGAATGGGGAGAAAAATAAGAACCAAGAGAGATTATGTAAAGGTGCAAGTTTACAATGATGAATTTCATTATATTGTATACCTAAAATGTACCAATAAAATTAATTAGAAAAAAGAAAGTAAGTGCATTCTGTGCATCCATTTAGAAATTTTCACTGTCATTTAGGTCATACAAATTAATGTTTTTACATAAATGGAATCATAATTTATATTATTCTGCATCTTATTTTTAAAACTATACTACAACATATATCTTTACACACATATTTTTCTGTTTGGAATTCCCGGTCCAAGTATATTTGAAATATATTTGAAATCTTGGAAGATTAGAATGGACATGTGCATTTCCCTATTTTTTTAAAGTCCTGACTGATCTTTTCATTTACTTAAGAAAAATGTATACAGATGCCATGAGCTAAAAAGAGGTTAATGACACAAAATATTTAAAAAGATTGCTTTAATGCAAAAGGTTAGTAAATATTAATTTGCCTAAGTAGGTGTAGCTTCCATAGGAATATGATGCTCTGTTCTCTTTCAAGAGAATCTTTTAAGAGGAGCATACTTGTCTGCCAGCTTCTACAGCTACCATGGTATTCATTCATTGGCCATACTTCCTTTGATGTGCTCCAGCCAGTGACTAAACATAAGATTATTGCTAGAGTTGATCCATTGCTGCTTGATGTGGGATTGCTTTGGCTCAGGACCTTCCATCTGTCCAACTGATTCTCAGAACTGCTCCATTTTCAGGAGAAAAAGGATCCAGTAAGACTTTCCAGCTTGACATGACTCAGGCTCATTTAGTTCTATTTGCAGAAATGGAAGCAGACTTTTCTTTAAAGACTCCTGGTTCTTTTAAATGGGAAGTGATATTTAGATATTTTAAAAAATTGTTT